GATTTAAATACAATTAGTTTTCAAGATTCACTATGTTCTGTAACACCAATTTTGTTCAGATTTTCAAAACAGTAGCACAGTCCACCAATAGATGCTTCGTAGAAAATTCAAAATTTTTGCTCAACTTTTAACACACGAAAACTATATTATAAAAACGGGAGCACTAAAACATGTACGTACACTGCTATTGCTTTTTGCATATATGCCCGAAGGCGAAACTAGCCCGAAGGCCTCCGGCCCGAGGGATATATTTCGCCTGAAGGGCATTATAATCTTAAAATCCTCGTAGTGCATACAAGGCTTTATTTTCTACTCAACACAATGTTTATTCATCAATTTATTATTAACAAAATCAGTTAAACTTGTGTGACAGAATATTGTTTTGTATTTTGACATGTACCTGTACCTGTGACTTGTACCTGTACGTGTGACCTGCACCTAGAAATCAAATAAATTAATATAAAAATATCAATAAATATCTCATGAGGCAAGGCAACGGTGGTGGCCCTGTGGGTTAACGCGCTGGACTACATGGGAAACGTTGATGGTAGACCGGGTTGGAATCCTGGCTAGACCGAAAATTATTTTCGATCAGACATTTAGTGGCTGCCTAGGTTAAAGTGCAAATTAATAGAACAACAACAACAAAAACACCTCAAGGTATTATAAGCGGACGTTATAGATCATAACGCCCGCAAAAGCGTGTTTATGGATTAGGTTGTTATAGGTATGTTAACGTATTTCGTTTCCTAGGTATTATGGATCTATAATAGTTAAGTAGAAAATAAATAAATAAATAAATAATATCATGAGAAGATGTCGCGCTTACACAGTTTTTATGCTATTCGGATTGACTTCATATAAACTATACAGTCCTTGAGGTTAGCAGGGAACCATATCAAGAATTTTTTGGCCGAGTACTTTTTTAAAGGTACCAAACTATCGATAGCTACGAAAATAACATCATACAAAATATTTAACATTCCATTTACTGTCCTATCCATAAAAAAAAGTTTCAGTTAAGTTGGTTTAGAAACTGTCTTATGGCATTAAAATATGCAAAGTTGAAGTCTCTGTAAAATCCTTTGAAGTTTAGACAATCATCAGCTTCAGAACTCATTGACATAATATTATGAATACGAATATGAAGGGGTAGGTAGGGTATGGATAACAGGGAGAACCAGGAAGAAGTCGGCCAGGCTGACACTTGTCTCTGTGTCCTGAGTCAAGACTATATCCAATAGGCTATGAATACAAGGAATTATTCCGTTGGAAGAGATTATGAAAGTTGCAAGTATTAAGGAGCATTTACATTCAATTCTAACTTCAAGTTAAATTTGACGTCTGATATTTTATCATTAAGGGCCAAATTATGAACTGACTGGTAAACCTCTGGTTGTTACCTAGCAGGTACTTTCTATGCACTAAAAAATGGAAAGTACCTGCTAGGTAACAACCAGACACTTACCAGTTGGTCTATAATTTGGCCCTTAACATTGCAGAACAAAATTAACTTTATTCGATATTGGAAATTGAGGAAAACCGTCAATTCAAAACGTCAGAATCTGATGAGAATCTGAAAATTTGACATTTCACAAATTTCTGCTTGCCCTCGGCAAGCAGCTCGCCCAAATTTGAAGTGAACTTCAAATTTATTTCAATGTAAATTGTAGCATAAGATAAAATTTGTATGCAGGCTGCCTCTTGAAAATATGCTGCATCGCTAGCTGTCAAAGTGAAGTTCATTGCACTGCCCTCAATTAAAATCACCAACCAATGACCAGAATGTTATAGTTGTATCAAATCCAAGCGGTACTAATGACATCGAATAACCTACATTGTAAACCAACACCAGCTGGTAATCCAGCCTCCTATTTTTTGAAACGCCCTATCGATGCGCATGCACGGGGGACATAGGTTGTAATGAAAATGTCCAGTTAATGTCATTACTGCCGCTTGGATTTGATTTAACTATAGATATGTTGGATAGGAGAGCTGGGAGGTATACACTGTTCCCAGGATAAAGCTCGTCTCGCCAGTACCAACCGGAACGAAAATCTGTTCAATAGTTTCAGGAACTTTTAATATTTTACTAGGTATAGATTTATGAATGGTTTAGTGCTCCACCCCCTCTCTTGAAACACTGATCTCTGGCGAACGATCCTTACGATAACTGAAAAAAAATGATGGAGCAGAGCAAAGATACCACTGCGACATTTCGTTAAGTACGAATATGTCTTACTGGCAGGCAGGGATATTTTGTTGCAGCAGTTTTTTTCGCAAACTCTGGGTGTTTTGGTAGTATATGGAAAAGTTCTTAGAAAACTTAGCAGAATTTAGTTTTTTGTTGTAATTTTAGGTCAAAGGTTGAAGGCTGTGTGCACGCTTGGAAATGAGGAGGAATGAAAGTTGTGTATTTTCGTGCAAAATATTTAATTTTTCAAAATCAGTGCACTGATTTTGAAAAATTAAATATTTTGCACGAAAATACACAACTTTCATTCCTCCTCGTAATTTTAGGTACCTATCCCTTGGTAATATCTGATCTCAATGTTATTCTCTCCATTCAAGACACGCTGTCTAGAGTCAGATCTAACTTTGGATTCTGATTGTCTGCATTTTTGTTGCTTCAGGATTAATATATAAAGACGTTTTCACTCTTTAATTTACTTTTAGAGCGGACAATGTTCTGCACGCCCTCCTTTTTATGCAGAATTCCTTTCAATGCCTTGTGGCCGCTTTTGTTAAGCTTACCGATTCTCGCCAGATTCTCAACTTCAACATTGGTAGCTCCAAGATCACTTAACAAAGTGTTGACATTGTTATTTCTCTTCCGATTTCTGACGAATGCATTCGGACGAAATGCATCTAAAGGACGACTGGCCTTAGGTTATCAGACCGATTTTGACGTTCCTGGAGTTCGATAAAGAAATTCATTATTCAGAGTGGTACATGTAGCGATGGTACTTCCAGGACCTATATTAGCAGGGGGATCCTGTTCGCATTTCACTCCTGCGGGTCAATTCTTGAAAATTCTCGCATACGTAAGTTGATTCGAATTCGAATGACAGCAACGTAAATTGAATAGGAAACATTCGAATTCATATCAATTTTCGTATGCGAGATAATTCAAGAATTGGGGGCCTGGGCTAATGTAGGGCCTTTAGAATGGAGGGGATTTGGATCAAACCGGATTGATAATCCTCACAAAAGAATTTTTAGGTACGTTCACCCTTGAGTTCGACCACTTGAATTTCGGAAGAGTTTAACCCCAAGCAAACGAGCTTATGAACACCCCTATTGGCCCTATTGCAGCTATCACAAGCAGTCATTCGCAAACTATAAGCAGAAACTACGGGCTGATAAAATTTTATGTTCCAATCAGGTGAAATTGGTGGTCAGAGCCAAGTGACATCCAAGTGATAACAAACCAAATCGCTCACTGGAAGAGGATCCCACACTTGGCGGGGACACATTAAATTTGTCATACACCTTTCCGATTCGACTCCGGCCCGATTTTTCCTCAAGAATCGGATCGGTGCGGTATCGGAACGGGGTGATCACACATGTCATACTCGTTTCCGAGCTCTTTCCGACTTCTGGTTCCGGCTCGTTACACTCGCTATTCTTGATTCAAACAATATCGCAGAAGGTCTTGTATGCGAAATGTTCAAAAATTTTAATTCATGAGTTGTTTAGAAGAAGTAGGTACTTAGATGAAGAACATCGGAGATCTTTTAGGTGTGGTAGGGTTTCACGGCCTTTAAATGGGCAAAGAAATTTATTTTCCTACGTCTAAAAAAACAAAGCAAACAAAATTTAACTCAACAAACCAAAGTTAAGGCTGCTAACCATAGGCCCTGTCCTGTAACAGGTCACTGCCCTCTTCAGTACAGAAAAAAAAAGGCTGAGTCAGTCAATTTATGTCCATAATGTTGATTCAAATTGTAGAGGAAATTATTTTTATTCTTGTATGTGTGAATTGGAAAATTATAGTTTGAAAAAGCTACATTGTTTATGAAGGATTTTATAGGTATATTTGGAAATGAATTTTTTTTATGTGCAGGTTTGTTATAGTATAGTATATTGTGTATTTAGGTGGAAAAGTGACACATTCTCGGCCGGCGGTATAAGTTGACGGGCGAGGCGTAGCCGAGGCCGGCAAACACCGAACATCGGTTAATTACCTGTTAAATGTTTGTCTTTTGGTTCCAATTATTCAGCAGTACGAGCATCACTTTCCCGGCCTAGGCCGGAAAAGTGTTTCCCGTATTGTTATTCATTGATTTCTTAGCAACTATTGAAACATAATTAAAATACCAGAATATTGAGTTTTGCTACCTGTCAACCGGTCAAAAATGATGACATTTCTTGTCAATCGCAGAAAATAGTATATTGTGTATTTAGGTGGAAAAGTGACACATTCTCGGCCGACGGTGTAAGTTGACGGGCGAGGCGTAGCCGAGGCCGGCAAACACCGAAGGCCGAGAATGTGCATTTCCACCAAAATACACATACTATTTTTTCTGAGATCGGTTAAATATCTGTTAAACGTTTGTATTTTTGTTCCAATTGTTCAGCAGTACGAGAATCACTTTCCCAGCCTAGGCCGGAAAAGTGATTCTCGTATTGTTATTTATTGATTCCTTAGCAACTATTGAAACATAATTAAAATACCAGAATATTGGGTTTTGCGACCTGTCAACCGGTCAAAAATGCTGACATTTCTTGTCAATCTCAGAAAAAAGTATTTAAATATGTAATCATTCTTTGCCGGTCATAATAGCAAGTCTGGTTCCAACACATCCAAAACCGTCCCATGAACGATTTCGAAAACATTATGTATATAAATTACAGATTCTACGCGCAAATACGGCTTTGCGCAGAATCGTGAAGGTAAATTGTACGTTTTCCTGTTGTGTTGGAACAAAGTTAATTTACATACCTACACTGTTTGTCTTTGTTTTATCCTTTCTTAAATATATTAGTGAGTTACTTACCAAGAGTAAAACTCTCAGAAATCCGGTAGGCGTTTTCAAATGGGCATAGTCGCAATAGAGGATCACACCGGAATAAAGCGACAGGTCTGGCGACGGGGCCATCCTGCGGTAATGCGAATGTGAATCCCATGAGTTGACGGTGCCCAGAGGCGATTCGCACTCTTCGCAACCGTTTACAGTACCGCATTCGGCGCTCAGGGCTCCGGTCCTGCTCCCGGCTATTTCGAAATCCTGCAACACACACAGCATGCCATCCGAGGCTTCCTGTAAACATCAAATAAGAAACGGCGAAAGCGTTCAAAGCGGTGTTCTGTTGGACTGGATTTACAAAGTATAGTGTGTTGTATGTGCTGGTGTTTGGCTATTAGCTAGCAACGAAATATCTAGCTACTATTTTCATGCTTGCTCACTTCAAATTTAAAAACAATATACATACATACAGAAATGACGGAGATATCTACCAGCAAATAACAAACAACACAGCCAGTTAGCTACTTACTTGCTAAATGCCCTTATTGTTAACGGAGTTTTTTTTTGGTAGCAGGTTTAACTCGTTTATGCATTTTTTGAGATTGTAATTTACTCATGGTTTGACCGGAAATGATCATCCTGTATTTTTTTGAATATCATCTCATCCATATTCGTAATTGTGAATTTTGTGATATGTTTAGCTTTTATTGAACTTCAAATTTCAAAAGGAACTTTTCCATCTAGAATTATCCTGTGGAATTAATGGTTGAATACTGAACCCAAATACAACTATCATTTGTTAGTTTCATTGGATTACCATGTTAATGTAAATCTGAAATAGATTTTTCAATTTGATACAATTGCAATAAATCTAGGTTTGAGATTTCACATACATTTTCTTTTTACTTATTTCTCTTGTACAATTTAGAATACCTAATCATATTTTTGGTACAAGATAAGTATATGTCAATAATTATGATATAAATCGATACTTCTATTACTGTATTTTTGTAGCAAAACTTGCGGGCCTTTGGTCCGTCCATTTGTTACATTGGAAGTGACCCAGAGTGACTTTCAACGTCAAAAAGCATAATACAGACTTATGCCTACTACCAAATATTTGAGTTAAAAAGTTGAAAAATGGAAGTTATAGAGGTGAGCAGAAAACCCATGGGAAAACCCTGTAGGTACTTACCGAAATGAATGATGTTATTAGATAATTGAAAGTAGAATAAATATTACATTTTAATTTCCCTACGCTTTTTGAGAAAAAAAAAGCTGGAAGTATAAAAATTGTGTTCCTAACACTTGCGGAACAAAGGTATTTCCGCATTAATTAGGAAAATAACTATTTCATCATTTCAATGGCGTGTAATATTGACAGATATGTTGAAGAGGGCGCTTCTGTACTTGGAGCTCTTCAAATTTTGGCGCGTGAATTATCGATTGTAATTTTAACCTCAAAAGTTAAGTTTGACATGTGGTTTCAGGACCAGCTAACGCTGACACTTTTTAAAATATTCTCTAAGGGCCACTGAACGTTTTGGGAGATATTTTAACTTATTCACTGACTATTGTTCATATGTAGTGATCTTTCCTTCGATTCAGTTTAAACGGTTTAAAACTATTGATATTTACCGCCAAAATTTAAAGCACTCCAAGTTCACTCGCGTCCTCTACAAGATTTTGGGGAACTTAACTGGATATTTGCTGCCATTGCAGTCTTTCCACACTAGTAAAGTCAGAGCTGGGATCGTTACTTGAAAAAAGTAACGCGTTACTTTACAGTTACTTTTGCTTAAAAATAACTCGTTACTTAAAATTTACAGTTACTTTCGAATAATGATAACTTTATTTTCGTTACTTATTGGAAAGTAACGCGTTACTGTAATTTCTTTACTTTGAAAGTAACTTCTTTACTTTAAAAGTAGTTTGTTACTTTTAAAGTAACGCGTTACTTCAAAAATAACTATTTACGTCGAAAATTGCGTTATTCCTTAAATTGACTCACCAACACAGCAGTCCAAACAATCAAATAAGACTTATACGAAATGCCAATATGTTTTTAGTTTGTGAGTCCGACTATGTGGAAGAGTATTCTTGCACAATTCAAGCGGATTAAGGATTAAGCGACTGAATAGAGCACTTGGTTTTGGATAAACCTGCTCTTTGAAGCGTCCCAGTGTCTGCATATAGTGTCTTTAAAGCAGAGGCGGCGCGTGGCACGCCCAAAAACGATTATTTTGAGGTTTCAAAACAAATTTTCTGTACTACCAACATTTTATTTGACATACAAAGTTTTTGGATTACTTATTTTCCTTTTCCTCACTCGTCAATTATTTGTAAAGAAGATAAACAAATTGAGAGAACGAGTTACTTTCAGCGTTACTTCAGGAAAGTAACGTCGTTACAGTTACTTATCAATCCATCTGAAAAGTAACGAAGTTACCAAGTAACGCGTTACTTTCAGTAACTCGTTAAAGTAAAGTAACTTTTTTTTGTCGTTACTCCCAGCTCTGAGTAAAGTTATGTTTACACTTTACTGCAGGTACTGGCGAAGAGTACCAAGTACCTGCCTTTAACTATAGCCATTTTTGAAGTCGATGGATAATGGACTCACTACAAAGCTTTCGAAAGCTGAACTAAACTTTCTAACCGACGAAGTTTGAAAAAGTTTAAGGTACAAAAAAAAAACAATAAAAAATAATAATTTATTATCAAAAAAAAATCATGCAACTGCTACAAAAAAATGAAAACTAAATTCTAAACACTTGATCACTTGCCAGTCACAAAATAGTCATACCTGAATCTCTTCAGGCTTATAACTTGTAGGCTCCAGGTCTCTAATGTCGTCCAGCAGAAACTCGATTTCGTCGGGGCTATATAATATATCTGATACGGAATTGATGTACCGGCCTGGCTCAGACTGCATGTCACTCCAACCTTAATGCCGAGGCACCGCCCCACACCAATCCATTTTTTCCTACTGCCTACAAAAGAAAAATTAGAACAATAAAACCACCAGTGCAACAGGTTTAAAGTTTGTCAGCTGTCATTTAAACAAAAAAGTCATGTTCGACAGACAAAACATTTTAAATTCCAAATGCTAAAATACTATAATGTTCATGGTGAAAGTTATAGGAAGACTTCTAAATAGATGGACAACGTGGAAAATTCTTAATTCAAAGCAGCAACTTGTAAAAGCTCATATCAGTGCCAGATCGAGACAGTATAGCAATGGAATATGTCCGCCAGGTAAGCCTCACAAAAGGTCTGAAGATGGTGGTGGTGGCGCAGGCGGCAAACTAAAATGGGCTTCGGCGGTTTTAGCATTAGCTGGCGGAGGGACTTTGGTTTATGCTCATTTCAATCCAGAGTTTAGGAAAACTGTAACATCCCTTGTACCTGCATTGAATCCAATATTAGACGCAATGGACCAATATTCACCGAGCACGTTGTACAGTAACACCAAACAATCCCTTTTGGACAAGTTCGCCCATGAAGAAGCCAGACCAGTAAAAAAAGGCCAAATACCGGAACCCAAAGAGTACAAAGCCCCACCGCCGATTATACCTCATCTTGAAAAAGACGTGAAAAAACACGAAGACGCCTATAATGAAATTCGTGTCAAAGCAGAAACCGGTGTTTCCGATGAGTTTGATATTGCCGGGGAACCAAAACCACAACTGAGCCCTCGTAACACTACAGCGCTCGCCGAACTTGAAGCTAAAATTTGCCACTCAGCAGAAGAAGCCGTAAATGCTTACCATAAAGCTGTACATGTATTGCTTAGCTATAACCAAGACATCGAGTATATGTTGGATGAAGCAGTGAATCAGGTAGAGCCAGAAATATGGGAAAAGATACGACTCAAAACGCGACATAAGAACGAGTGCCTTAAACGTGCTCAAGAGAAAGCAGATGAAGCCAGTAGGGATGTAAATAGACTCAAGGAATTAATTGCGAGTCCTGATTTTGATGCTCCTGAAAACACTAAGTCAATTATCAGGAATAATATTTCAAAAGTACAAGACGATATTAACACCGCTAAAAAAGAACTTGAAATAGAGTTGCAACATGGCAGCGTCACTGAAAAATATTGGGACAAAGTTGAAGTAGCGAGAAAAAATTTCTCTAATGAACTAGAAATCCTTTTCCCTGACATAGATATATCCCAAAAGCGGCTTATAATTCGCGAAAGCGAATTAGACTTATTTATCTTACACATATATGCCCACGTCCTATTTCATCAAAAAGAATTAGCTAAAATAGAGACTGTTCTGCAAAGCAGAGTGGATATAGCTGTAGAACAAGCCAAAAAGGGCGGTTTGGAACCATTGACTGTAGCACAAATATGTGAAGCTGTAGAACAAGAAAGAAGACGTTTAACTGCTTGCTTCCAACAACAACTACTCAGATTGAAGAAAGACTCTGAGACCGCTTACCGTGAAAAACTTAAACGACAAGCACAATTATTTAACGAAAATTCACAAGTAGCTATAAGAGCTAGAGAAATCGATATTGAAAAAATTTTGACCAGAAAATTTGATGAACTTTTAGAAGAAGAAAGATGCAGATTCAAATATCAACTGGCGACAATGATGGGTAGGCTAAAGGGCTTAGATCAAGCCATCAAAATTAGAAATGATGCTGATGCCTCGTCCAAACAAGCTCAAGTATTGTGGGCAGCATGTCAGTCTCTGCTGCGAGCTGTCAGATCAGGCTGTCCAGGAATTCCATGGAAAGATCAAATTAGACCTCTTAAACCGGAAATCCAGGGGGTTGTTAATGCTGCTTCACCAACTGATGAACTTGTAACAGCAGTAATCAGTGGCCTTCCTAAAGAAGCAAGAGAAAGGGGAGTTTTTCCAGAAGATGCTCTTAGAGAGAGATTTTTAAAAGTGGAAAAAGTGGCCAGAACTGTGGATTTAGTACCAGCTGGTGGTGCTTCGCTTCCCGTCCACATTTTGTCCTACATACAATCGCTGATGTTAATAAAATCCTCCAATCTAATTCCTCAAGCTGAAATAAATGACGAACAGATTGACTTTAGCAACTTGACTACTCACGAAGTTTTGCAGAGAGCCAGATATTGGTTGGATAGAGGCGATTTTGCTCAAGCCCTAAAATACATGAACTTACTTAAAGGTGCCCCAAGATGTATAGCTAGACAATGGATGAATGAAACTAGAATTCTTCTGGAAACCCAACAAGCAGCTAATACGTTGATGGCACACGCAGCTTCTAGTGGACTGATGTATTTGTAAAATTTATTATCGAACATGCTTTTTTTGATGAATATAAAATTTTGTGATTGTATTTAGTAGTTTAACTGTTGAATTATAAATATACTATATATTATTCAATTTGAATTTGCTTTGGAAAAAATGCAGAAGCGTCACGAATTCTGGTATTTAAAGGCCCCACAAAATTGAACCAAAAAACCCAGTTTCGTCTTCCATTTCAAACAAAAAGGCAAATTCTAGGTTACCACATAGGTTTCACGAAAAATAAATAATACAAGATAAATAAATGTGCAATTTGCAGCTAAAACGCTACCGAACTTAATCAAAAAATTCAAATTTCTACCTCAAAAGGTTTTAAAACTTCAGTTTGGAGCAGATTTCAAGAGATTTTTGCTGGAGAAGGTCTCTCCAATGTCACAAGATTGTGGAAAAGACACTATTCGCGGATACTGTACTTTCTTCAAGTGAGTTCCACATGTACACAATCCGACTGTTGAGTAAATTCTTTCTTGGAAGTGATGCTGATCTTTTCTTGCTTAATTTTTTTGAGTGTCCGCGCAGCTGCTGGTTCCGATTGAAATGAAACAAAGTTCCCAAGCCAGAAGAAAAGTAGCCTGACAGAATCTTAAGTCTTAGTTCTTCTTTGCTTCAAAGTAGTTAGCCCAAATATTTCAGGTCTTTCAGGATAGGTTAGTCCTCTCAACTCGGATGGAATTCTGGTAACCCGCCTCTGAACCCCTTCCAAAATGTCTATGTCTTTGATGTTGTAGGGGTTCCAAATACTATAAGCATACTCGATTTTCGGTCTGATATAGGAGGCATACAACTTCCTCACTATCTAGAGAGAGTTATCTTTGTAAGTCTTTTGCACCATGAAAATAAAACTATTGGCATTTTTCACTATCCTATTTATATAGGGCTCCCATTTCAAATAATAAGAAATCAGCACGCCCAGATCCGTTTGCTCAACTAGTAAGCTGAGCATTATTTAGGAAGTATGCTTCATGTGGATTATTCGGACCAATATGCAGTATTGTACATTTTAATGCATTGAGCCTCATGCACCACTGGTCCGTCCATATCTCAATTCGCCTTAGATCCCTATTCAAGCAGCCCCTTTGCAACAATGGATTACAGAACACCTTGGTATCATCAGCAAAGAAAATGATGTTTGTCTCATTGTTCCATGACAAATCGCTAACAAAAACCCAAGCAAAAACCAGAAACAGTAATGGTCCTAAAACAGACCCTTGAGGGACCCCACTCATAACCGGATGTTTATCATTACCATTGACCCTCACCTGATAGAAGCGATTGGTGAGAAAGTGGTTGATTAGAGCAAGAAGCGGGCCTCTTATACCAAAATGTTCAAGCTTGAAGAGCAACAATGAATGAGGTACTTTATCAAACCCTTTCTCAAAGTCCATCAGGTATATTACATATGTCGGTTGCCTTTTTTCATGAGCTTTGGACCAATTATCAACGCAGCTTAGAAGGTTCGTTATTGTTGAAAGCTTTGGAAAGAAGCCATGTTGTGAATGTGGTAGAACTTTGTTGGTAAGTAGGAAGTCAGTCATTTTAGAGCAACAATTTTTTCTAGACATTTGCAAGGATTACAGGTCAAGGTGATGGGTCTATAATTTTCTGCGATATGTCAGTCACCCTTCTTATAAAGTGGAGTCACTGTTGCATGTTTCCATATGTCTGAAATTTTTCACGAATCCATACATTGTTGAAATAATCCTGAAAGATGGTTGCCAATAGTGACTTTGCACTTTTGTAGGAATATTGTTGGAAATCCATCTGGGCCAGGACTGGATTCTGATTCTGACTTCATTTCACTTAAAGCCCTGTTCACTTTTTCTTCTGTAAATTCTATCCTGTCCAACATATTAGTTACTCTCAAATCATCCGGCAAAGTTGGTCTCATGATCGGGTCTGGGCTGAATACTTTGCTTTGCGCAAAGATGGCGCTACTTAAGGATTCCCTATACAGTGACTAAATAAACCTTTACAAACAGTGGCGACAATAGAGGTCCCGCCGCCATTTTGTGCCCTTCCTCTTGTTAATTTTGAAATATGAATATATAGGATTAAATGGATATCAATCATGAAAAATTGAAAACAATGTATTTGATTACTATTATCACAGTTTCTATTATTAGGTACGTCAAACACATTGTTTTCAATTTTTTATGATGGATGTCCATTTAAATCCTAATTATTATATAGGATTTTAAAGAACCAATCAAAAATAAGACAGCCATTGTGGTAATAGAAATAGAGTCACTGTTATTCCCTATACCTAACTTGATTCGTTATTGAGTTATTCATAAAAATCAAAAAATCCCGTAACCTGTCCTTGATGTGTAACAAAAAAAAAAAAAAAAAAAACAACAACAGCAAAAATTAATATTTTTCTCTGAACTACATTTATTGACACTTATACCACAGCATCTTATACTTGACAGGCATAAGAGGTGTATTCTAACTGCCTAGTTAGAAAAAGTGGATTTTTCTATGAATAACTCTATAACGAATTAAGTTAGGTATAGGGAATGCTTAAGTAACGCCACGTAAAATTCAATTTTCTTTCGAATGGTGCCAAAAACAGGGTAAGTGACATTTGAAAAAATCCTCTTTTTGACCATTATTGATTCCGATGTTTGCAGGTCGCCTGCACCCATATGGTATGAAATGGACGCGCTAATGACACATCAGGAGTTAGTCCGAACCTTCAGCTAGGTATTTATCTTCCAAATTTGGTTTATTATTTTGGAACGGTTTTCGAGAAACCTTGTTTTTTCCAAATAAGCAGTTTATACAAATAAATGACATTTATGTCAGAAACTATAAAAGATAGATTGACAAAACTTGGATGTTCCAAACTCAAAATTGCAAGGCCAACCGAACTATGTTGAAAAAGATGGGAGTTTCTATTTGAAATAAGAAAGTTAGTGCTATCATTTGGTATACCCTGTATAGTTGAGGGTCTGAAAATATTTTAGGTGTTACCGGAACGATTGATTATGGTTACAAACCAAATTTGAAGTTTCTGATCCCCCTGCAACCTTGAACCCTTCTAGTGCACGGGCTACGTAAATCACCCTGTATATAGGGTAAATAATATGTTCCTACTTTCTTCTGTATGTTTGCTTGCCAAGTGACCAATAAGACCTAATCGGAAATTAAAGTTGTGAAAGGTGCATTGCCATTTAACAATTGATAAACTTGTATGCTCGTGACAGTAGTAATCAGTGGCCTTCCTAGATACCTAGATATTTTAAAAATTGGAACAAGTGGCATCTTATTCGCATTTTATCTTACGGACAATGTTAAATTATATAAAAGCTCAATCTCTTGTAATCTGATGCCACAAACCACAATTATTGTTGATAAGATTGATCAATATGTGTATTCAACAATATACTTAAATGGATGATTTTCCTCAATAATAAGTTCTAATGGCCGTTTGCACCGACCATTTTAAGGAAGCCTTAGCGATAAGTATTCCTTAAAGTGACATTACTCCATGTAAAAATGTCATTTTGAGGTATTCTTATCGCAAAGGCATCCTTAAAATGGTCTGTGCAAACGGCCATAAATGAAATAGGCACAAGGACTAAGGACTTCACCCTCGACTTCACCTAAAAGTGCCAGGATGTGTAACTGCAAAGTAAATGTTTGAAATATTGAGACTACAGTCTATTTTTTCCCAAGATAGATTTTGACATTAACGCTTGGCCCTGATTGGTCGCAAAATGCCGTATCTTTGCAGGTTGGAATCCTCGTTGGAATCAGTTTTACAATGCATGTCATGCAAATGAAAGCTTGCCGCCACCAATAAGCGGCATTGTTTATGCTTCAAAGTTGGGAAAAAATAGAGTATAAAGTCTGTTTTTTTTTTTTTTTAAATAATTCCCCAAGTCAAAAATTTAGTAACTATGTTGGCAACACAAGCCTTTTGTACATAAAAAATTTGAAAGCATTGACAATTTTACATTGTATTGCCAACATAATATCATTTTGACTTTTATCTTAAAAAAAAAACAGACTTTACATTGTATTGCCAACATAATGTCATTTTGACTTTTATTTATTTTTTTAAAAAACGACTTTAGAATTATTTTGGGGATACACTTGTGAGGCGATTTCGCCTCAGTTTGATACCCCATTTTGGTCTGTCAAACAGGTAACAATCAATTTCGGATGGGAGAATAATGCTGTCACAGCAACTTTGGTAGGTGCTTTGGGGCCTTATTCTGTAAGGAACGAACCGTTCGATTCGGTAGAATTTCTTCGATTGTGACGTCATTTTCGGTTTGGTAGCGCGAAAACCACACCAAAAATGACGTCACAATCGAAGAAATTCTACCGAATCGAACGGTTTGTTCTTACAGAATAAGGCCCTTGGTCTGTCAGATGCTATACCGCGGTGTTGGGAGCTTTCCCAACGTAACTTTCCTGCGCTGCTTGTGAACTTTGTATTAGTTATAATTATTATTATCAAATAGGTTCTGGTTGTCAACTGTGCATTTTGTTGTTGTTCTCTATGGAAATATGAATTATTATTATGTTCATTTTTTTTATTAATTTTTATTATTACATATATGAAATTGTATAACTTTCATGGTGCTCTGCCCTCTAGGGCATCCCAAATTCATTTATCCATTTGAATGGTATTGAAATGACGAAGACTATTATGAAAGATGGAATTTATCATAGCAGTAACGGATTGCATGTTTTATTACTTGCTAGCAGCCAGTGATTAGTAAACTGAAGCAATGTGAGTTCTCCACACGCGGTTTGACTGGGTAGTGGAGGTTTGGTAGCTTTCTGTTTCTTTTTATCGCATGTCCAAATAAAGATGTCAAAGTCAAAATATACTAAACGCCCTATCCACTGAATTCGGATGAGATTGTTGAGTTACGTCACTAACGTACCCAGGGACGGCCCGAAGACTTTTTATTGGGGGGGGGGGGGGGGGGGGTAAAATCTCCCAACTGGTCTTTCTCAAAAATCCCAACTAGCAGGCGCGTAGCCAGAAAATTTAAATAAGGGGGGTTTTTCGCTATTGAAATTAAGAAACACTGCACGACTGCAGGCGAAAATGTTGTAGAATTTCAAGGTCAAATGCTTGATATGAAAAGAATAAAATTTTGAGGATCAAAAAGTAGGTATATGCTAAAACATAGGTTTCGTAAGGTAAATTTCTAGAGTTTTTAGTGATGTCCCAATATGTCCTTCGCGACTTCACATTTTAGGCAGGAAAATTCGTTGTAAATGAGTCAATTTGGGGGACGCACGGACCCGTCGGCCCCCTTTGGGAACGCTACTGGTAAAATCAACATGTTTACTAAAAAAATAAAAAGTCAAAAGCATGTATTTTTTTGAGATTGTTAGTATTTGTATTATGATTTTTAATTTCTAGTAATTTCCAGAAGTGGCTTCTTATTATACTTTCTTCAACCCCCAAAACCCCTCCCGTGGCTACGCCCCTGCCAAGTAGCGTTTTTTTCAAGCTGTTTTTCATATTTTAATCATTTTTTGGAATATTTTTTCATTTTCCCCGTGAATCTTTATGTTTTCAAGTGTACCGATTCTCCCAACTTGTACCTGATATCCCAACTATCCCAACTGATTGAACTGGTTGGGGGGACGTCCTCCCCCCCATTTCCCCCATACTTGCGCCCCTGAACGTCGCAATTGGTTAACCATTCGCCTACCAAACAGCATATGAAAATTTGGGGCGAAATCGCCTTTGGTCAATCATAAAACTGGTACGCATTTTCATATTGTGTTGTATTGTGTAAATCGACCTTTTTTGATAGCTCAACAATGACAAAAAGAGTCAAGTCAGTGTCATATTTAAACCAATCATAACATAAAAACATGTTGCATGTCACGTTAAAGTGTACCAAATTCAAGGAAGATTGTTATTTTGTCGACACAACAAAATCAAAGGACATCAAGGAACTGTTTGGCTGTGCATGTGATTTATGCAGGAATGTCTTCTGCAGGAATTGTAACCATCTTACCTCAAGTGAGATAAGAGTGCTATGTAGCACTCGAAATTGCTTGAAATTTTTTTGTACAGACTGCATGGGGTTAAGGACCTGCCAAAAATGAACGGTAGAATCGCTAACCTAGAAAGGGAAACCCTCGGGGAAACCCAAGAACTTAAAAGAAAGGTTGAAAATAATGCACCAACATATGCACAGGTTGTAGCAGACACTTCTGAACTGAAAGAACAAGTCGAACAGCTAAATGTACAGATAACATCTCAGCAAAACGCACCACGGGTGACAGCCTCTAAAACTGAAAATAACATCTTTGTTGAGCCAACTTTGCTCGAACTAGCTGAACGAGAAAGGTGTGCCCCAAACGTCCTTCTCTTTGGAATAAAAGAAAATAATTCGTCACAAAATGAACAGGACGGTGATCTGGACAAGACAGTGAACATGTTAAAAAGAGTGAAAGATAACATTCAAAAAGATGACATCAAAATATACTGTCTTGGAGCACCTGCTCAGGGGAAAGTCAGGCCTATCAGAATCGTGACCGCATCTCCTTCAATGGCCAGGGAAATTTTAAGAAATAAGGCAAAATTTAATGAAGAAAATATCTATTTCAAAGCAGACCAAACACCCCTTCAAAGAACATACTTAAAGGCCATACTCAGAGATCTGGAAGAACGAAAGCAAAAGGGGGAAATGAATATAAGAGTCAGATATATTAACAATGTTCCAAAAATAGTTTTCTTTCAAAATGAGGAAAGAGAAAATTCAAAAAACTAAACGTGTCCCTTGTTGAAGTCTCCTTTTGGTATAGCAATTTGTGTTCCATGGTAAATAAGCTCGATGAACTAAAAGCTAGCATCCAAAACACCAATGCCCATGTAATATTGATTACAGAAACATGGCTAACCGATCAAATACCAGATAGCCTTATAGGTATACCAGATTACTACTTGTTCCGTAAAGATCGATGAACTGACGGAGGCGGTGTTTGTGTATTTATCAAACGTGACATAGGTGGCCAGAATGTACATGCAGTCATAAGTCAGCGCGAAACAGCAGGTTCAGTTGAATCGTTATGGCTTGAAGTTAAAATCAGCAATTTTAGGTTCCTAGTAGCTTGTGTATACAGGGCTTTCATTTCAAAACTTGCCACCCACGTTAACTGCGTAAAGAAGCATATTTGCGGATATCGCCGAAACACGTCAACAAATTTATTGAGGGGGAAGGCTTTTTACGGAAAACTGGACTTCGCCCCTTCAACCCCCCAAGCCTTAGGGCTACCAACTCAAAATTTTCAAATGAGACAATGAATCGAGTGACAGATCATTTCACAGGGCTGTTTAATCTGTACATTTTGCCGTCCTATTTTTTAAATTTGACCTCACTGTTGCAGAATAACACCCATTTCATGTTTAAAAATGCCTATTTATCCCTAAACACACCTGCTTGTTTACCTGTTGCTGTAAAAGGGAGGTAAAAAAGCAGGTGTGTTTAAAAATAAATAGGCATTTTTAAACATTGAAATGGGTGTTATTTTGTAACATTGAGGTCAAATTCAAAAAATAGAATGGCAAAATGTACAGATTAAACAGCTCTTTAAAATAATCTATCACTCGACCCCCTGTCTCATTTGAAAATTTTGGGGTGGTAGCCCTAGGGCTTAGGGGGTCGAAGGGGCGATGTCCAGTTTTACGTTAAAAGCCTTCCCCCTCAATAAATTTGTTGACGAGTTTCGGCAATTTCCGCAAATATACCTTTTTTCGCAGATAACGTGGGTGGCAAGTTTTGAAATGAAAGCCCTGTATAGACAAAAGCAAAAAACAACCGTAGAGCTTAACTTAGGACTGATACAAGCTATTGAAAGTGCTATGACATTAAAAGAGCCTGTCTTTATCATGGGAGACTTCAATTACCCTGAAATCACCTGGGACAAGCTAGTAATTCATCCACACAACCAGTGCAGTTATGACTTCCTGAAGAGTTACAGAAACCACAGAGGACACCAACATATTAATTTCCCAACAAGAATTAGAAATGCCCAGCAATCACTTCTAGACTTACTTATAACTAATGAGAAGAAACTAATTTTCGATATTCCCCAACATGTACCGCTGGGAAAAAGTGACCATGTAGTACTGCGCATATCTTGATCTTTAAATGTGGTATTTTTTGTTTTATACTTTTTTCAAGGTTTCAGCCACAAGGTAGATTATTGATGGTAACGTGGTGTTTTTAGTCTGTGGTGATTCATAATAATTATTGTACTATTTGGGTTTCTAATTTGTTTTTGGGGACTTGCTATTTTATTCTATTTTATTTTATTTTGTTTTATTTTATTTATTTAGTCTACTTAAGTATTGCATGATTTACAGTTTAATTGCTTACCTATTAGCAATAAGAATTGCTTTGTCAATGAAATATGTTTATTTTGAGAGAATAAAGCTTATTGAGATTGAGACTGAGATTGAGTATTTACAGCCACAACGCAATTTCAAGTTATAACTCGCCCAACTCACAAGGTTTACAAGAGACAGTTCTGGAAAGCTGACGATGATGCTGTCAACAACTCACTCCAGCAAGAGTTACATAAGGTAGCAAATCAAATAAATATTGACACCTTCTACGAAGCAATAAATAGATCAATCAACATAAACATACCAATAAGACCTCAAAAACTTAACAAGCAAAAACCGTGGCTGACTAAAGAAGTATTTAAAGAGATCCAGCTAAAAAGAAATCTGTGGCATGGCATAAATATAAAATATCCAAAACTGAAGATAACTATCAGAGGTATCAACGACAAAACAACAAAACTAAAGCGTGCATGGTGAGGGCAAGAAAAACTTATGAACATAATCTACTGACAAAAGACAAACAATTCTATGCATACATAACTCACACCCTCAACTCCGAACATAAAAACTTTAACATAGTTGATAATGCAACCCAACAACCATTTGAGACAAACCAAGAAATTGCAGAATGCTTTGCAGAGCAATTTGAAAGCGTATACACATTACTGGATCAGAATACAAATAAACCCACACTTCCCTTGGAAACCTACTCCAGGACTGAAATTACCAACATCATATTCACAGCAGAAAAAGTAGAAACCGCAATCACATCGCTAAAACCAAACTCTAGTCCAGGGCCTGATGAGATCACACCAGTTTTTCTCAAGAACTGTGTACAGGTGCTGAAAGAGCCTTTGTCTCGCTTGCTTAACACCATAATGAGCACAGGAGATTTCCCTTTAGCCTGGAAGAGGGCTGTGGTAACGCCAATATACAAGAAGGGAAACAAACAACATCCAGAAAATTATAGACCAATCAGTCTAACAAGTGCACTATGTAAATGCATGGAAAAAATAGTAGCCAAAGAACTCACTGATTTTCTACTTGAAAATGTTTTACCTGCTGAACAACATGGCTTTCTCCCAGGAAAATCAACATTAACAAACCTGCTAACCAGAATGAGTGGACCCTGGCCCTGGCTGATGACAACCATGAACCCGAGCATGAACCAATTGATGTCATTTACCTTGATTTTGAAAAAGCATTCGACAAGGTGCCAACAGAATTTTTGCTTTATAAATTGGAACATTTTGGAGTAAACTTCTGAGGTTGTTGGAAGGCTTTCTCACACGTACCTTCCAAGTACGTGTGGATTCCTCACTTTCAAAGGAGCACAAAGTACACAGCGGTGTTCCTCAGGGGTCAGTCTTTGGCCCGCTGCTGTTTATAACTTACATAAGTGATCTCTATCAAGGGCTTCACAAGAATAATGCGACATTTGCTGATGATGGAAACCTATACACAAATCCGCTGCTACATCAGGTTGAATTACAAATGGACCTTAACTAGGGTTGGCTTAGAATTTCCCCAGGTTATAAAACCCAGTGGGGTTTTTTGGGTTTTTTCAATTGATAAAACCCAACATTATTGGGTTTTTTTAAAATTAGCAAATTTTCAATTGAATGAGCGGCATTTTCACAGAAAATATCGGGGATTCCCAGTGGGATTCCCCGATGAATCTCCAATCCCTGGCTGTTCGCTGTTGGCGTTTGGCGTGGAGGCCTGGGCAGAGACTCCTGTGCCATGTAGAATTCGACATATCGAATGTGCCGAGCCTATAGAATCCTGTCGATATTATATTCTATAGATAGATATAGAATTCTACATGACACGGAGTCTCTGGGCTGGCCAGCCAGAGGCGCGGTGCAGTGCACTGATGCCAAGTGTAATTATCTATATCAAGTGGCTTGCTCTATTTTGTAGGAATATTTTATTTTTGCAACAAAAGTCATAATTTTTGTAATACTTTTGCTAGAGCAGAAACTATAAATCAAATTTTGAAGAAAAAAACGAAACTCCCCGGGAAGCCCGAAAAAACCCAAAAAAAACCAAAAAACCCATAAAAACCCAAAAAAACCCGATGGGTTGGACTTTTTCAAAAAAACCCCGGCCGGGTTTTTTCCAACCCTGACCTTAACAACATTAAAGCTTGGACACATAAGTGGGGGATGCCTCTGAATAATTACAAATGCACTGTCCTTCATATTGGTCAAAACAATCCCAATTTCAACTATTTCTTTGAACATACACATATCACACAAATGTCAAAAAAGGCTAATTCAATGATCTACCTTATTCAGACAGCCTTTAAAGACTTATCAAAGGAAATGATCTTGAAACTTTACAAGTCGTATGTAAGACCAAAACTTGAATATGCCCAAACGATCCATACTACATTAAAGACATAGAACAGATAGAGAGAGTTCAAAGAAGAATAACCAGATTACCGCAGGAACTTAAAAATCTGTCCTATGAGGAACAGCTCCTAAGATTGAACCTCACAACTTTAAGAGACAGGAGAATCAGAGGTGATCTCATTGAAACACATAAAATACTCAACGGTCACTATGCCTGTAACCTGAGAGACATCTTCCACCTAAGCCACAACATAAATCTGAGAGGACACGATCAAAAGCTTTCTAAAGAAAGATGCAATAAGCTCCTGAGGAGGAATTTCCTTAACAATAGAGTTGTTTACAATTGGAACCGCCTGAGCGCTGACACCATAAACCGAGGGGTAAACCACTCTGCGCAATACTGTCACAAATCGCGCGAAATCCCTGCGCAATCATGTGAAATCGCGCGCAATCGTTGCGAAATCAGGCGAAATCGGGCGCAATCCTTGCGAAATCGCGCGCAATCCTTGCGAAATCGCCAGCAATCCCGCGAAATCACTTAACTTTGCGAAGTCGGAGCCTCGTTCAAATGCGGAATTTCAAGGCTGACCAATCAGAACTATTCAAAGAAATTGGCGGGAAACTTGCTTCTGACTTTTGTAGTCGTAATAATCGGTGTGTAAACGATTTTATAATTATTATGTGTCACCAGTGTCCGTATCAGTTATTAGACACTTTAGTTAGACAAAATACGTTAACGCTAACGTAAGATTTGACAGCTGCGCATGCGCAGTTTCTTTTCACCAAAAATAGCGTGTTACGTGTGACGTTATTAGAGAGATATCGGTAAAACAGATAGCGCGTATGGACGGTAATAACGTCAGGAGTTATTTTTTTAAAGTAAAGCGGTATCATACTTTCAAATTAGAGTTATCGGAAAACAGTTTAACGTAAAATTTGCCTGTTAGCATCCGTTATTTTAGAACCGTAGCCTAACTTGTACCTTGTTTTGATTTGATTAGTGTTGTCTGTTGAAAATGGTCAGGGACAGATGATTTGCTTTTTTACTATTTTTTAAACAATCCAT